AGGAGAGTCAGAGGAAAGAGCCACTGTACTGACACAATGCACGATGGCTGATATGCCAAGGCTGTTGGCCTGATTCATGACAAAGACAGTCTGTGAGTTAGTGAAGTGCTTAGCGATCTGCGTTTTGCGTAACCGATGGATGACGAGAGCAAGCGCCGGACCCGGTCACTTGGTGCCTGAATTACTACCTGCCGCGCGTCGCGCGAACTGGAATCAAGGGTCTTGATGTTTGATGCTCGTTCTCGTTCCGACATTTTGAGGGGAAGAACTCAAGAACACTTGGGTTCGCTCGCCAAAGGTATGCAAACAGCATCACTCGGGGAGACTCGACATCACAAGAGTGCAACAGCAACGCTCGGAGACTCGAGAGCATCATTTCAAGGAAGCTCACCGCGTATAATAGCTCTAACGATGGCTGAGGTTATTGCTGCAGCAGAAACTGGTGATGGACATGTATGACGACGGATCGAGCAGAATCAGAGGAGAGCGAATGATGCAGGTCAGAGGGGGGGGCACACGGACGGCGTGCCATGTCACACCCACGTGTGACGTAACTAGTGTGAATCTGACGCGACGCTACCGCGTTTCACGTCGACAAAGACTCTGCGTATTACTGCTCGCAATTGCCAATCTTCAAACTCGATGTCACCCTTTTCTGCAATTTCTTGGTGCTTTGGGATATGCTCTGGCTGGCACCACTTCTCGTCGACTGTGACGCGTGCTGTTGTGACAGAGGGGGACAAGCGCTGTAGCGAGACGCGCGTGGCCAGGCGTGGCCCAGTTCAGTTTCAGTTCGGGCTCCTCACGGTTCTTCCTTTCGCGCAAAACTTTCTTCCCCAACGTTCATTTCTTGCTTGTGGATACATCGTTCAACGATGGCATCTATTGCTTCAAATGCCGCTGCAAAATTTAGCTCTGAACGACCTCACTTGCATGGCTACTGCTGAAGGATTTGAGCGTACCTGCTGCCCAACTCGCGCCGTGCTGTGCCCGCCGTCTTGTTCAATGTTCACCATGACTTCTGTGATTGTGGTAAGTAACGGTGGAAGCCTTCATCGACGTTAAAGCAAAGGCAATGCCGAATATTTTCAATACTGGCTATCGAGGAGTTCTCGCGCTCATGCCCTGCCGACACCGCCGCGATTCGGGAACATGGCTTTGCGCAGGTCTTATCGTGCCTTTGCACCGAAATGCGCAGCAGGATTCGTTCTTTCACTCAACATAAACTCTGCAGTGTGCATCCTTGCTTGTTACGAGAGTAGAACGAGGCGTGCTGTGCATTCCAGCGCAATGGGTCCGTCATACTTAAACGCTTCTGCGTCTCTCCATGTAAGTAGCCTCTTCTAAAGTATCTTCATCTGCTCTGCATATATGGTATATTATTTTGCTAGGTCAAAGTGCTCGGCGACTATGTATGTAGTCAGCTCCCTTCCCTCTCGGTCAGTCTTGGCTGCATCTGGCCTATTCCTGCTGCGTTGCTACGAATGCTGTAGCTCATTAGCCATGCTCTCGGTCAGCTGTTCGAAATATGCTTTAGCTGCCTCGTATGTGGGATCTCCGAGGATGGTCTACCTCCCGCCTTGCCTTTTCCTCTTACGACATCAACGAGGACGTCCATCGCCTTTGCTAGGTCACCTTTGACCTTCATGAAGCGTTCTTTCAGCTTCTCATGCACGAGCTCTCGAACGCCATCGTAATTCGAAACGTGGTCGTTCATAGAGTAAACTGCCTTGTTATTTCCTTCTGTGCGGAACTCCCCCTGGGCAGCGAGCTCTGCGGCGAGAGTTTCACTGATCGCTGAGATCGTCCAATATTCAGCTACATTCACACCCGGGATTGACGTGTGAGAGCTTACAATGTATAGCGGCTTTGGAAACAATGTGAAATCCAACGGTCTGCTCGCCAATCTTGTAATCGAGTGCTCCGCGCTGGAGAAAGCTCGCTTATTCAGGGTACGTGTGCATGCCACACGGTCCGACTGCCAGTTAACACGATGGTTCCGACCTTGCGGCTGCGCATATGTGGCAGTATGACATTGGTAATGTCTAATTGCAGAAACACTCTCCTCGTCTTGACCATTGGCGACGGAAACCTTTCCTTCAGCATTGATCTCTGCCAGCTCTGTGTCAAAGGCGTGGACAGGGAAACCTCATTTGCATGCATGCACGTTTCCATTTTTGAACTGTAATGCAACCCTGCGGTTGTCCATAGTGGCCTGCACCTATTCGACGGCGATGCCACGATCGACACGGATGAAGATCAGGTCGCACTGTATTCCAGCTGTTTCCACGACCTCAATGTTCGTATAAGCACATGAGTTCATCTTAAGAGGTCGGCGATAAGTATTTACTAGCCCGGTGACAGCATAGATCGCATTGCAGTGGGACACATCGACGATGATCGATGAAGTCTAAAACAACCGTCGTCGTGTATAATCGTGCAGATTCTTTGAATATGCTGTTGACCCTCGATCATATTCGGAGACCTTGATGGCGACTTTCGATTGATAAGAAGGCGAACAGTTGTGTAGACTCTCTGTAGATTCGCCAGGTTCGAAGATTCGATATACATTCAAGCCTGATGTTGACGGATTGATCGAGAAGAAAAGCCATGTATTGCAACAATGACGTACCGGCAGCCAAGACGTTCTCCGCGAACGCTATGGCGATAAAGGCCCAGACAAACGGATGGACCGTCTTTATGAGCATCTGCGAGACTTGTGCTTTGGTTCAAATCGCTGGGTAGTACGTCTAGCAGACACCCATCGCAGAGATCTGCAGTCCACAGAAGGCTGGGAAGGATGACAACCACTTGTATGTTATCATAGACAATTCAGCAACGATAGATCCGGAATCTAGCATGAAGGCGGCACAGCACACGATCGGGCTGCAAAGTCACTTCACCATCAACGCATCATCCGCCACTACTGTTTGCGAGAATGTGACGACGCTCTGCGTGCTCGAGTCAAATCCCAGACAACCACCATTGAAATTTGACAGGAACAGTCAGAAATGAACTTAAGTATACATCAAGCTGATCATTGATAGACATCTGCAGTCGCATTCATGAGCACTTCGTTCCAACTACATCTTGGCGACTCGTCGGCATTTAATATCAACGTCGCGTAGAACAAGAAGAGTTCCATATACTTTTCGATATTCAGGGCTGTCTCGAAGGAATGCTCAGACCGTATCACAAACGACAGCAGTCACAAACAAGTACCTTCGTTCACACCATGTACACTTACATCTCGGCCCCGTTACCTGCGTCATAATGAATATAGCGAAACGCGTGGGGTGCGAGCTTCAGGTAGTACTTTAGTGGCACATAAGCTCAGATCGGACGTGATGATTCTAATGGGAACCGAAGGACCTGTCATTCCAGAGAGCAGACTAGGGCTGACAGTAATATTGTCCTGCAAGAGCGAGCGGTGAGACATATGTGTGGCTTTGATAGTACCGGACAACAGTTGAAATGGCACGTCATCGACGCCAGTCGGGGTGATCGGCGCAGGCTCGAACCCCATCCCCCATGCATCGCTGAGAGTTAAATTGCCATAGCTTGCCCCGTCGTTAAATATGTTCGTGTCAAAAGCATTGTATGAGAGGTTGAACTCGGCAGCAAGATCTTTTAGGAGCTGAGTGGCGTGCTGCTTCACTTCGTCTACTGAGCTATCTCCGAGACAGATGATGAGAGCTGTGTTTCCTCGCCTTTGAAATCCAGCTTCTCACCTGTCGGCGGCTATCCGGTGGTTGACGATCGCCATCGCATTCTCGGGAAGTGCGTTTGACTTGACTCCACCGTTGATGACGTCTACGGCCTGTGTCGTACTGACCAGAGCCTTGAATGAACGGATCTTCAACAACATCCCTTCTGCGCGGCGCAGCGCCTTGTCCGAGGTTATCGACTTTTGTAATGCCTCGCGCATTGACACAGGGAACCTCGGCCCGTGTGCGGCGAGACATTGAGCGTGAATATACATTGGTGAGTCTCGCCGGAACAGTAACTTCATGGGGTTGTTCTCATATCGCACGAGCATCGCCGCCAGCATGCCAATAGTCTGATGCCGTCTCCATAAGCATGTTAGACATACGAGCTAGGAACGCAAGCTTACCGTGTGGACTGGAGGTACGCTTGAGTGTCCTCCTGGAGCATTGACCTCGATACGCATGTCGAAGTAACCTTTTTGCGCTATAGCAGGGAATGCGAACGTTCCACCGTACTGGTCCAAGATCACGCCTGCCGGCAGAATGAGCCCTCGCAGCTTATAGTGTCGACTTGCACAGGTTGTCTTACCTCCTTCGTCAAGTAGCATTGCGAACGAATTTTCACCGAACCTGGACAAGAGATATTCGCCGATCGAGGAGGCACCCTACAAACGGTCAAATCATCGTCATCGCGCGGTCCGGTCAAAAGAGCACTTACCTGAACTCCATTGATCTCTTCGTCGAAACCGAATGCCAACACAAGAGTTCGAGCAGGCTTGAAGTCTCTTCCCAACAAGGTCTCAATGACAGTCCTGGGATCCCTTGCGCTGAGCAACTCGTCGAGGTCGCGCCACAAAAACAAGCTCACAGAATGCCGATCAAACTTGCTTTGTCATCCATGCTGCCCCGCCCCCAAAGATACTTTCCTGCCTTACTAAAATGAGATGGGTCGCCCACCATGACGTCTCACTTATCGTCGTAGAATCCTGAAAAAGGAGGAGGCGTCCAGGTATCATATGTATCGGGATTGACGGGAACAACATCTGGATTGAAAGAACTTCTTCGTCGGAAAATCTGCGTGTCATTCAGAGTGAAATATGATGCGTACCAGAGTGGCCCGTTAAGAGCAGAGGCTTGATGTGCTCGTCTGATCCCTTCAAAATGTAAACAAGTCCATAAGTGTTCACCTTGACCATTTCAGCTGTGTTATGGGTGCTAACGTGGTCAACCAATCCATTTTCACGCCACACACTGCATAGTGCTTACTGACAGGATGCGGAAGGAGGACAGAAGATACTCACGAAAGCGATTGAATGGCTCCCAGCGAGCGTCTTCGCCAACCGTTCCCATGTCATCAAATGTCTGCGTCCTATACATCCCTTCATATTCCAATCGATCTTCGCAATATATTGAGATTGTTACTTACGGAATCTGTACGGCCCCGGAGAGCAGGCTCACAGTTTCGTGCAAGAACGCATCGCTTTTGAATGTCGACTGCAAGCTCTGCCAGAGCGCCACGTGCTTATCCGGAAACAGGGCAGCTGACTGCGGACACATCGCATGACTTAGCACAGCATAGTCAGTTGCGCTGAGGTTGCTTGACACTGGCACAGAAAGGAGCACGAGGAGAGTTAGCAGCAGAGCTAGGGCGTTGGTAGTGCGAGACCATGAACTTGATGGGGAGTCTACGGGTTGAATCTCGGAAGCAGGAGCGAAGCCAGTGCTGTCCTCCGAAGGTTTGTTCGTCGATATGGGATACTAATGCACTCGATTAGAAGAGGAGGAGACAAGGGGATTTCAGCTACGGACACTTGCCTTCACGAACTTCGCTGGCGGCAGTCATTAAACGGCTGGCGTGGCCTTCTCCACGCAGAGTCTGTGACTGTCGAGCCTTGCCGAAAGTCTCCCGCGATGACTCTATGTTCGTGCCGCCGACATGATTCGCATATCGCTGATGAATAATGATGATCATTCTTCTGTGCGGACGCAACATGGCGAGCGGGCCAATCGGGCTTCTACGGTCTGCCATTTGGCTGGTACTACTAGCATTGCGCGCTTATGGAGCGCTTAATGCATCTCTCGCCACCGCAGTGACTCAGGATGGATAGTACAATACGAGCACCTCCAGGTACCTCAAGGCAGTGGCTCGGCGTCCCGACATCTCATATTATGGCAACCTTGTGCCTTTAGGCACTTCATTTCGTGGTGATATTCGAGCTGGGTTCGAACAGATAGTACGAACTCCACGAATTTGGGCCTCCGCATCGAGACGCACAGCTAATACTTCTTTCCCAAGGTCTTTCATCTGAACAGGATCAACGAATCTCCGTGATGAACTCATCATGCCGTCACTGTTATTCGCGATGGGCTATTTCAGCGGTGCGACGGGCTCAGGTGCCGCATCGGTGAGTCTGCATTTTCAGAAAGCCGTAATTGGCCCTTACATGAGAGGTATCGTTGCTTGATCGCTGCGCGTTTATGATGCATTGCAACGTTGTCTCCTAAATGCAGATACAGTATACCGACGGCGGCGCTCGTTGTCTCCAGGCACTGGCTCAGCCGCGCATGGCACGAGGGAGATTTGCATTGTTTGCCTTTACCATCTGTCACAGTCTTGCGCGCACATCCGGTTCGATTATCCACGCATCATTAACCATCCCAGGCTGGTAATGGACGCTCAAGGGCAACGCGTTCTCCGCCGATGTGCTTTCACGAGGATAGTACGCTGGAGCCGCGTACGGATGCTCAAGCTCAAAAGGTGGGGTGAACGTTGATGCCACCTTCGCAAATTCACTGAAGCATTCGGCTGAGGGCAATCATATTGCCGTAGCCTCTAGTGGGTGCCGGGCTATCTCTCGTCCGCATACCATCAGCTTACCCACGTCGGATTTTGCCTAGCACAGGACAGCTGTAAGCGAGATACGGGGGACTTTCAAGTTCTGATGTACAAAGACGATAGATCCGAGCATGAACAATGATTCTTAAAAATACATATAGCCCACAGCAACGGCGATATTTTCCTACCGCAACCATGGTCGAGTTTTCTATTTCTGAATCATTCATCGTCTCGCTGTTTGTCCAAAGCGTTGTCCATGGCATCCACATCATGGCTTTCGCATTTAACGCATGGACCCTGCTCGATCGCCCCCTCGCAAGATACCGACAACATACCGACTGGCTGATGGTGGTTACTGCAGCTTTCCTCTTCGCGAACGACCTGTATATGAATATTCATGCCTTCATCATCAACGAAGGACCCGGCAGTGCCACGACGGATCTCAGTATTCTGTCCAACTGGACTCATATAATTCGAGTGAGTGATTGAAGATTAAAAGTCACCACTCTATACTCAGGATCTATGAAACGTTCCATATAAGGCAATGCCCCTGCCCGATTTGGACCCGTATTGGCCACAGCGCAAGAACGATGTCTACCTGTCATGGTCTTCTACGATCTGAAGCTTATTTGTTTAACACATATATCAGATATATCGGCCATGCTCGACGTCTAGTCACACTTCCCCCACCCCCCGGCTTCACCTCGTTCTCTGCTCTTGTTACAGAGTTTTCGATCGTAGCTCAGCGTGTCCGCTATTCGAGCATTTTTAGCGCATACAAA